TATATATATATATATTTATTAAATACAGATTTATGAATTATAATACAGAGATATGAATTTTTGCCCATATCGCCCAGCCCTAGTTGTTATATGTTGAAATTTGATTATGTGGCACTAAGTATAGACCACTCCTTTTCTTCAATAGTAAAGGCCATCATCGATCATGAGGTAAAGAATGGTATACCATCCAGTCGTATCATTCTTGGTGGGTTCTCTCAGGTAAGTGATCCATCCTGAAATTTTCTACTATTACTCAAATGGCTGACATTGCAGATGCGGTTCAGTTCCTCTCTTGATGTCTGATCTTCAGGGTGGAGCTCTCTCTCTCTACACCTCTCTGACCTCTCAGCAGCATCTAGCGGGTGTTGTTGGACTTAGTTGTTGGCTTCCACTTCACAAGACTTTCCCACAGGTACAAGATGTCAGCAGTGAGATTGTGTGAGGATAAATATGTATATATGTAAATGGGTATGTCTATCAATATGGATCTGCTTTTTTATCCATTAGGCTGCAAGTGGGAGTGGAAACAAGGACACTCCCATTCTGCAGTGTCATGGCGAGATGGATCCCATGATCCCTGTGCAATTCGGGGCCATGACAGCAGAGAAGCTCAAGACCATAATTTCTCCTCAGAATGTCACTTTCCGCACCTACCCGGGTCTCATGCATAGCTCCTGTCCACAGGTGAGACTCATCTGTTACGCTCACAGAAACCTACATTTAACATGTTTTACCATGTTCAAATTAATCATGCAGGCTTTCACAGATTCTCCTTCAAAAACAAAAACAAAAAAATCTGTAGAATCCTTTTAGACCTACCTATATGTCTTCATTTGAATAGCAGTTCTTTATTGTGTATTACTACACTACTTTTTAACGTTTTTGAAAGAAGTTTCTTATGTTCACAAAGGCTGCATTTATTTGATTAAAAAAACAGTAATATTGTGAAATATTATTACAATTGAAATAACAGTTTTCTATTTTAATATATCTTAAAATGTAATGTATTCCTGTAATGGCAAAGCTGAATTTTTAGCAGCCATTACTCAAGTCTTTAGTGTCAGATAATCATTCTAATATGCTGATTAGGTGCTTAAGAAACCTTTTTTCTTATTGTTATCAATGTTGAAAACAGTTATGCTGCTTAATTTCTTGTGGAAACCGTGATACATGTTTTTCAATATTTTTGATGACTAGAATGTTGAAAGGACATAATTAATTTGAAATTGAAATCCTTTTTAACATTATGCATGTCTTTATTGTTATTGTCTTCTCATGTATTGTCTTTTAATCAATTGAATGCATCCTTGCTGAATAAAAGTAATAAAAGTACTTATGTTCCATACTTCAGTGGTAAATAAGGTACAAAGGTGAATCATTTGAAAGGGTACCACCCCAGTGACAACTTTTATGCCTTTTTTCTGACAGTGTACTGTAATTATTGCTAAGAATGGCAAGATTTAGTTGGAAGCAAACTCCTGTTCTATATACGACACTCCATGTGAACTAATAACAGGATGAGGTCTGAACTGAAATCATGCAAAATATTATCTTTGATGTGGTACAGTGGTTACAGTAAAACTATATTGTTTGTTCATGCAAGTTCTAACACTCATACTACTCTCTGATTGGCTTTACAGGAGATGTCTGCTGTGAAGGAATTCATTGAAAAGCAGTTGCCCCGAGTCTGACCTCATTCTAGCTCACTGTGACCCTTAGACACTGACCTCTCTCACCTCCGACCTGCCATTCTCCCACAGGAAACAGCCATGATCCCCTACAACACATGCGCTTGCACATTCAGTTGTACATACTGTGAACATGCAACACATGCATACCATGTCATCTCACACCTTTCTTAGTAATTTCATACATTAGTGGACATTCATTAAAAAGGTGATATTATAAGTGGCATTCGTACATAGAATAATATTCCATGAAAGTCTTTTGGCCTTTTCTTTAAGGAAGACTAATTAACTTTCATTATACATTCCTGTACGTGTTACATCTTAAACCATTATCCAGTATCTCTCTCCCCTACTCTTCTGTCTCTTTCTCTCAATAAGCAAGGCGGTAAAGGTAACATTTTGCTAGACAGCTCTGTAACAGAACTCGGGAGAGTTCAGATGCTGCACATCTGTGGTGTTGGTGGAGGAAGCTAGTGAGAGCCTGGTGCCGTCTGGAGTGACTCGCGCTGCGCTGCTCTGCATGCTAGTCCCATGGTGCATGCCTGCGGTGGGGCTTTATTGGGATGCTGCAAATCATACTTGTGCTGAAATATCTTTGGATTTTTTTTGTTTTTTAACTAGAAATATGAGAAAGGCAAGCGAAAATGGCTCAAATAAACTACGCTAATGAATCATTCAAATCTTCCAGTATGCTTTGTTCTTCTGAAACAATTACACAGAATGAGAAAAGATGATTTCATTTTGTGCCAGAGTGAAATCTGTCTATGCAAAATGATGAATAGATTTTTTTAAATAACAACATAACACATAACATATAACACATAAGCAGCTTTAGATTTGAGTATTTTATTGTATAATAATCAATGATACTAAGCTCTTGACATCAATTTATCAAAGTGAATCACTCCAGACGGCCGATAATATTTTCCAGTTGCTTTAAATAGCTTCCTCAATCCTCCCTAATTCCCTATCCACCTCATAACCTCATCATCCACCACTTACGTGACCAAACACATTCAAGTGTTCTGGGGTCTCAGATTGCATATGTATATACATTTCAGGTTCCATATTAAAAGCATAAAAGTATTGTTTACTGACACGACCTAATAATAAAAGATGGAAGGTCACAGTTATGCAGCAGCGTGGTGGATTAAGCCTGCTGATATTAAAGAAGTAACCTTGATTAGCTATTAAAATTGAAAGATGAGTTTGCAAACATGGTTGCTATAGTCAGTTCTGTCTGTTTGCTTGTATACGTTTGAAAATGGATTAAAATGGTTTCTGTGTGATGATATCTAAACAAGTTGTTTGCAAAGTAGTGAGTGTTGCTTTTTTAATCTAAATAGATGTTCTTCAATATATTATTTCAGTGTTATTTTATCTTACAGAGTCCGTTTGACTTTAATGTTTTCATAAATCTTATGATCCCCTCTTTTATAATTGCCATTATTCCTTATTATTAGTTAGAATAAGTTCTTAGCATCAGACAGGTTTCCTATATGCCCTGTGGCTTGAATGTTTATAGTATGAATCATGGGCATGCCAGGCACAAGTCGGTCAGCAGAAACTGGCAATATCTTTGGGTTTACCAGTGAACTTATCAGTTTATGTCCACATGAGTTGTGTTTTGTTGTTGGTTTTTGTTTTGTCGTTTGTGCTTGTTTAAAAAAAAAAAATCTGTCATGTTCTACCTGTATGTGAAATAAATGATGCAAATCACAGCAAAGCAGTCCTGAATTTTATTGATAATGTTACTTTACTAATTTTCATGTGATGCAGATGGATCAATTTGAGAAATTCGAGCAAGGCATGTAAATGTCACAGACATCCATTCCCAGCATCAAGGTATACTCGGTCTCCTTTTGTTTTCCTAACAGGAGGTAAGCATATAGACCAAAGGGTGTAACAGTTTTAATGCAGAAAATGTGTAAGCCTGTGATTTGAGTCAACTTGAATATCCTCCAGTAATATATAATTTAATAAGGTCCAAAGGGGGCAAAATGTGTACAAACCATAAAGAAAGCAGTGTAGCTGGAGCAGATCTGCTGTCGTCAACGGATGACCTGTTTTGACTGCTGCTTGAAATAGTAATGAAATCAAAGAGTGATCAAACATGTGCCCTAATTAAAGAATGGAGGCCTATGAAAACTGCCTGTAAGTTAAAGGGAAAGACGCTGTCCTCCATCAAAATCATTTGACAAATGCATGACATATCTACATTTTAAATATCCAGATTGGTTCAGTTATATTTCGTCAGAATCTACTTATCGCGAAGTAGACTGAAATTTAAATGATAATTCGGAGTCGATTTATTCCTTTAGGTGGCACAAATGCGTTATCTGTTACTTTTTTCCGAACAAACCGCATTTGTGACTAAAATGTAGTTTTGTGCATGAGTAATCTAAAGTTATTGATGTTTAAACAAATAATTATTCATATTTATTTATAAAAATCTTTATTTCAGATTTGGATTTTGCAAATGTGTTTATGTTTATTGTTTAAAAAAAATCAAATTAAATAATTTAAGGCACTGATATGACTCATGTGAGTGTATATGATTTAAAACTAATTTTACTGTAACATTAATTTCTTTAAGATACTGGGTGGACCTTGATATTAGATAATATGAGACTGTGCCTCATCTCGGTAGGTGGCGGTAAGTGGCTCTTAAACTCGGTCCTTCATCTACCGTTAAAACCGCGAAGGAGACGCAGATTATTGTCCTATGAAATGAGAGCATGACCAGCAAACACAGCCACGAGCGCCACCCCTATGATTATATAGTTCTTTATCATTTCTTTTTACATAATCTCTGACATGATCGAAGGTCTTCTGTCCGATAACAATGTTGATATAAGCTTTTGGTCGTTTGATGTGTCGACGCTTAGTGGATACGTCCAAATCAGTGATGAGGTACGTGTGAGATTGTTTGTGTGTTGATCGCTCATGTCAACACGCCTTGGTGTCGAAATCTCCGCCTGACCAGTTTAGGAGTGTCGAAAATGAAAGCTCTGCTTTATCAAACGTGTTTGTGGGTAGATGGCTTTAATGCAAGGGGTCTGTCAGCCATAGACCGGTATGATGAACTGAACTGATGATGCTGATCAGCTGTCAACACAGTAAATGCTTCCTTGAAAAACTACAGGCAGAGATTCAGAGCTTTTGTTGAATGCTCTGTCCAGTTTTATTCTTAGAGAACTGTTGCAATTTTGCTTCATGAGAAATTTAACTGCCAGAAAGAAACCCACTCCTCCACCACTGAAAACAAATAAGCAATTCACCGAGCTAGTATGCAGCGTTTATACATTGTGATGGTTTACATGAAACAATCTTTTGTATCTGTTAGAATATTGTAAGTAACTGCTTTCTTTTCGAAACCACTAAGTAATCTGTAAACAGCGTATGCAATCTGTTTTATGTGTTTAGTTCGTCACCATGTTGTCTTTTTGTGTATTGTTAAAGGGGTAGTAAACTCAAAGAGAAGATTGTCATTCTTTACTCACCCTCATGTTGTTCCAAACCCGCATGACTTTCTTTATTTTGAAGAACACAAAAAGAGATGTTGTGCAGCATGTCAGCCATGTCACCATTCGCTTTTGTTAAATGGGGAAAATATGCAATGGGTCACACTTTATATTAGGTGGCCTTACCTAATATCCACTAACATTAAATACCTACTAGACTATGGATTTGCGATGTAATTACATGTTATTCTGGACAATTCCCCGAAGTTTGAGGTATGGATTGCTTTTTAGGAGTAAGGATGAAGAGTTACAGTTTTGGGATAAGGATTGGGTTATTGTTAGGGGTAAAGTCAAGTGTAACTACAAGTGTTCATTTAATGAAAGTACTTTAAATGTAATTACAATAAGCCAACATGTATGTACATAATAAGTACAGTATATACATAGTAGTTAAAGCCACCTGATATAAAGTGTAACCATGCAATGAAAGTGAATATTCACCGAGTCCTTCACATTTCACCTTTTGTCTTCCATGTTAAAAAAAAAAATCATAACGTTTTGGTACTGTCACTTTAAATGTCAGATTAGTGCATGCTGTTGTCAGTCATGGCAAATAATTAGCTTGGAGTTTCAGACATTGTTAAAAGTGAAAACGGCAGTTGAGGATCATCTTGTACCACAGAGCCTGCATTGTTTAAAAGTAGCCCACTGCCTGTAAAATGAATGCAAATGGAGTTTTTCTATTAATGGACACACAGTATGTTTAATGATTGAGCTCTAGTGTGGGGGAAGCTTATGGAACAGAAACGTTTCCCTCTCTTTGTGTACCTGCCAAGTGCTGCTCTTATTTCATCTGTTCTGCATTCTCAGACTTCCCACCTGAAAATGAACCATTCGACCACAAGCCCAAAGTGTGTTTATAATGATCCTTCTGAGTTCTAAAATGTGGTTTTGTTTCTGATGTAACTCTGCAGACATTTTTTTTGAATGTGAGTGAGATTAGTGAGTATGAATATGAGTGAGGAAACGAGCAGACAGAATGACCTAAAAAAACGGGTCGAAGCTCCCACTCACTCGTGCCCGATCAGTGCACCTGCTGCCACCCTCTCCTCTCCCACAACCCTCTCAAGTAGATTTATTAGAGCATGACGTGATGCATACTGGATTGTTTTGCTGATGAAATATTATAGAGCCCTCAGGTCATGTAACCTTTTAAAAAGGTTTCTTTCTAAGTGTACTTGTACTTTTTTTTAGCAAAACGAGGCAATAAGATCAGATAACAATAAGATCAGATAAGGACACCTGTGCAAGATTGTTATTTGCACAATGTGGTCATATGCAAATTAGCATTTTGTGAAGCAGACTGGTTTTGTTACGTTAGGGATTTCCACAAGATGGTTATGAGAGTTATATTTAAAGCCGCACTGTATAATTATTTACTGTTTAATATGTTCTAAAGCAAAGGACTGTTCACGCAGAGCATGTTTGTGTTGCTTTTCTACTGTTTTTCTATGCAAACATGCGCTTTATGGACGTATTTGACAATTGCGATCATGCTTGGCATCTTTTGCAGCATCTCATACATTACACAGCTTTCTAAAAACTCAGCGCTCAAGTCAAAAGATCAACTTCTAAAAAATGCTTCTCGAGACCTTCATTCTTCTACCCTAAGTCTTGTTTTTAAACACAAAAATGTATTCTTAACCATTCTGTTTTAATGGCCCCTAATTAAGCCATTTGTTGGTTGATTTCACAGAAATGTGTAAACACTTTGGCAATATCGAAACATTTGAGTAATTTTTTTTAAGTGCAAACCCAACAGTCGATTTCATTGATCAACTCGGTCACCTGTCACAAAATGTTCAGACTTCATAGATTAAGTTCAGAGTCCAGAAAGATTATTGATGGGTCTGATCACGACAAACAGTAATGGCACTCCAGTCTTATTTGTTGTTATTTGTGCAAGATTTTTGCATTTCCATTTGAAAATGCTTGTGGTAATTTTACACGTTAGATTTAAGCCTAACACTATTTTTGAGTCAAGCTTTGAGGTGAAGGTAATGGACTAGTGATGGGCGTTGAGACTATGTATTAGGGCTGCACGATAAATCGAAATGGAATAGAGAATGCGATTCGACAGAAGCTGCGATTGTTATGCGTATCTTTCAGTGAAGCACGGTTCTGTGATCAGCAGTAAATCTCCATCCAAAGGCCAGAGGGCGCTCTCGCGCTGAAACTCCAAATACGCCTTGCAGAAGAGCCATCTGAAAGCCCGTGATGATAATTTTCTGCTGATTACAGAACCGGCATTACTATCAAAATGCGCATGACAATCGCATTCGATTAATCGTGCAGCCCTACTATGTATCACATTCGGACCAAAAGCTGATTGCCTGATGTCAAATTTTTAAATAGAGATTGCAATATGGTACTGTTGATTTTCCATATTGATTTTCCATCCCATGATATAACAGTGAATAACAGATCCCAGACAATGTGATTGCGTTGATGTGTTTACAGGACTTGTGGTATGCCACCCATCCACTCTCATGCTGGCTGAGTGCTGAAAACTGAATGTGGGCCGCTCTGCGGCTCCCACTACAGCTCCTGCCATGGGGAATACCGCCACCAAGTTTCGTAAAGCACTTATCAGTGGAGACGAAGGCCTGGCCTGCCAGCTCTATGAGAACAACCCTCAATTTAAAGAGGCTCTGGAGCCCAACACATCTTATGGGGAGCCCTATCAACACAACACACCCCTGCACTACGCCTCACGCCATGCCATGACTCGCCTCATCAGGTATGAGCCTGCGAATGATTGGGCACTGAATTACAAGCATTAGCCTCTACTGGTTGAGTTTTGATTGTTCACCTTAAATTTTAATGTAAGAGTGACACTATTTAAAGCAGATCCTTAACATTTTAGAAAAACATATTATTAAAATGTATATTATTATTAGTTATTAAATTATAATTAAAATTAAAATAAGTATTTAATTTTATTCGTGATTATGTGAAGCTAAATAAATGACGAATTAGATTTTTTTTTTTATGAGGTGCTTGTAGTCATTATACACTACTGTTCCAAAGTTTGTGGTCAGTAAGATTTTTTTATATTTTTTTTAATAAGAAATTAATACTTTTATTCAACAAGAATGCATTAAATTGATTAAAAGTGGCTGTAAAAACATAATGATACAAAAGATTTCTGCTTCAATGGACACTGTTCTTTTGAACTTTCCATTAATTGAAAATCTTGAAAAAATTTACCACGGTTTTCACAAAAATATTAAGCAGTACAGCTGTTTTCAACATTGATGATGATAATAATACATGTTTCTTGAGCACTAAATCAGCATATTAGAATGCTTTCTGACAGATCATGTGACACTGAAGACTGCAGGAATGACAAGAAATTTCAAGAAAATTCAGTGTTGCCATCAGAGGAATAAAGCACATTTTAAAATATATTAAAATATAAAACAGCTATTTTAAATTGTAATAATAATTTGCATATTTGATATATATATATATATATATATATAAACGGCACTCTTCGTGTGAAATTGAATAACTATATGAAGTGGTATAAATATATAAATTTTCTGCCATCATGTCTTGAATTTGTGATCATTCTAAATGCATTTTAATAGCCTGAATCATGCAGTGAAAGAAAACACACTAAATGCGCACACGCACTAGTCTAGACTTCACGTAATGTATGCGTGCGCTCTGTAGGGATGTTTTGAATGGTTTTTGCAAAATACTCGATAATGTCAAATCGCACATCGTTAAAACAACAATTACGATATTATCGCAGACGATATATATCGCACACCCCTAATATATATATATATATATGTTTGCATATAATTATTTTTGATCAAATAAATGCAGCCTTGGTAAGTGTAAGAAACTTCTTTCAAAAACATTAAAAAAATATTACCGACCCCAAACTTTTGAACGATGGTGTATGTGTCAGCGCAAAACATATGAACCCATTTAATATCAATATGTAGCGTAACAAAGAGGGATAATACTGTTAGACTTCTATTCATGTAATGGGAAAACCAAAACAGCATAGCAGCATTTGTAGAGGGTTGTTGCCTCAGGGAGAACAAGAAACACTGAATAACCATTCCCATGTTGGCCCCTAACAGACAGGACCTAAAGCAAATATGCATGGAACGGGAAGCTTATGTGGAGTCCGTAGTGTTTTTGTGCGGTGCAAGGTTATTTTTGCATGGTTGTTGAATTCCATTGCTTGGTATTTGAGTCAAGACCACTTGGAGCCTTGAATCCAACTCTGACTTAGTGTAGTTAAAGCACCCCTCTGAGAAAATGGTTGGTAATTACCAGTTAGGACAGCTAGCTACTGAGAACTCTCTGTGCCTCCTCTTTCCTTTTCACTTTCCTCGTTTCATTTTACAGCTCATTGGAGCACACAACTAGTAACCTCAATGATTTCACAGCCTTTATTTTAATGGTTTGATGCCATTAACCCGGCAAAATTAGTCTAATAGTTATTACTCCTTTCTTGAAAGTACTAGTATGAATCCGGTACCTTGTGAGCACAACTTTGTTTCCAGGCAGACTTTCAAATTCAGCCAGTCAAATTAAAACTTGCAAGGCCAAACAATGCTTCTACATGTATCCTAGTTTGAAAACAAAGATATTGACAAAACTGCAAACACCTTAGCTCGAACCACTACCCAAGGTAGAACGGCCAGTTTGAAGTGGTTCTGTATTTAAAAGCTAATACCAGAGTTCTGTATTTTGTAACTGGACTTCTGGTTCACTTTTTGGCTGCTACTGATTCTTGGAAAAACAGCCTGCCAGTGTAGACCACACCCAGAATTTTTGAGGCCAAATGTGTGTATCTCTGGCATTTGGCTTAACGTATGTTTACCCTTTGTTTGGTCTTGTTTTTATAATGATCACACTTTCATTAGTGAGCATACAGCAGAACAAAGCACAAGATGTCTGTCACCTGCTTGTCTAGACATTATCTTTGGATATTGGTGTCATTCCAGCTTAAATGCTTGGCTTTGCATTTCATGATGTGGTTACGTCATTATTGCAATAAGGTTCTATTGTGACATCTCACTAGATTTAACAGTCGCATAGTTAACAGGTGTCTGTGTCAATTTGTGGTAGTTCAACCAGTCTTTCAGGCCTCCCAGGTGCAGTTTCAGTTGGAGAGCAGGGTTAGGGGAATGCAGGGAGTTAGAGCTGTTGTTTTCAGTTTCATTAACTAATAAACACCCATTGACCGATTCACATCACAGACTTCCCAGAACAGCTCGCTGAGTCATTTCCACTAAAAGACATTAAAGCCTGCTGGATGCAATCACTAAATTCACTCTTAAAGCTTACAAGGTTATACATTTCCCTAAGTCTATTCTATGGTGTATTTCAAACCTGTTATGAATTACTTTGAAGCTCCCGCTAGTAATCGCCTGAAAATGATATTAGTCTTTCTAATTACCTCCAGGTAGGGAGACGCTGCAGCCTCCAGCTGTGTTGAACAGTGTCATGACTAGTGATTGACCGATATTGATATTTTATAACCGATACCGAGGACAGGACTTGACGGATTATCTTACATGACTCCGTGAGTTCGTCTCTATTTCTTCAAGCCAAGCTGCATAAACTGCATATCAGGCATTTATGTAATATATCTAATTTGTGCGTTAATGGCTGTTATGTTAAATAAAGTTTACTAACTACAGTAAATCAAGTACCTGTGCACGCCGTTGTTGTTGTCTTATTTCCCCTCAGATGCGCTGCAATGATGATCCTGCGCGCAATTCTCAAAACATCCACAAGATGGCGGCGTTTATCGGTGAATCCGATATTACAAAACCGATATCCGATTATTGTAAAATGCTTAAATATCGGGAAAAATATCGGTAAATCGATATATCGGTCGATCTCTAGTCATGACATTTTCATTGTTAATATTGTTATGACCCTAATGCACTCTCATATGTTATGAAATTTTGGTAGATGCCACCACTGGGAGGAAGACAAAGGTCGTCTTCTACCTGAGGTGTTTTATAGAGGCTTATAAAATCAATATATGTGATAGTTCTGGTCTTGGATGCTGATTGGGCAATACAACATACCGTCATCCACAAAGTGTTAACCGTTATGATGCATAACTCCTGTTCATTGTATGGCACCCTTAAGGTTCTGAGCATGCAAAATCAATGAATTTCGATAACTGGATATGACGTCATTCTTTCCACCTCATTGTTCAATGCAGAAGTATGTTATTTCCTGTGAATGTACTTCTGATTCCTTAGCTACTATAGGTAGATAAATAGAAGAACAACAGAGTGCAGTAAATGGTAAAACCGGTGTGTTTATGATTACAATAGTAAATTAAAATAGCATGATAACAAATACCTGTTTGCAATATCAAGTAGCGTAATGGATTGTTTTTGTACAGCTAAAATAACTGGAAGCCTCACATATTCAAGTTACAAATATCCGTGCCTGCTCTTACTTCAAAAATAGACTGGACAAGTTGGACAAGCAAAAAATTAATTCTGGAAAAATCAAATATCAGGCCTGAAAAAGTCACAAGATCTAATAAAATCTTAAAAATGTTGGAATATTCTATAACTCATATAAATATTTCAAGTTATGATCTAATTCAAGGAGATAGATATTGCTTTTGTGTTGAGCAAAATTTGCTTATGTAAGCTATAGTGATGCCTGTTTTTTTTAAATGATTTGTTGTTTTTATGCAGTTATTTTCAATAAATAAGATGAAGCTGTTTACAGATCAGTACACAGGATTCATTAAAGAATCAAGTCGGAATTAAAATAATTTGCACAAAATTAATATGTACAAAAACTAGACTGTTAGGGTACAGTATTTTTGCATTTAGTTTCGCTGCATCTACTGTTTGTGTTTTGCTGTTGTAAATTGTATTCTTAAATGTAATTCAGATTTTTTTCTGATTTACAGTTTGTACTTACTCTAGTTCCTTTCCTGCAGGTCTTTCCTTTTCTCCAAAGATGGCAACCCCAACAAGTGCAACGTTCACAATGAGACTGCGTTGCACCTGCTTTGCATGGGCCCACAGATCCTGCTGAGTGAGGGGGCACTGCAGCCGCGGATCAGCCGCCCCCAGGAGGATGAACAGAAGCGGGCTGAGTGCCTCCAGATGATCCTGCAGTGGACCGGAGCCAAGCTGGACCAGAGCGAGTATGAGAGAGCCAACGTCAATGCCACAGACAACAAAAAGAGCACCTGCCTGCACTACGCGGCAGCGGCTGGCATGAAGAACTGTGTCGAGGTAACAAGATTGTTATTTTCTTACATAGTTCAGGCCTCCAAGTTGTGTATGTGTTTTTACAGTATTTTCAGTTGATTTGATGCAAAGCCTCAGTTCAGTTTCAGTTCTATTAGACTGTGGCCAGACTCCATGACCATGCAAGATTACTTTTCTGGTTTAATTGTAGTACACTAGGATTGATCACTCAGTGAAGCCACTAACTAAGTTTTAGTCTTGTGTTTTGCAGTTGTTAGTGAAGAACAATGCAGATTTATTCGTGGAGAACGAGGACAGGGAGACGCCGTGTGACTGTACGGAGAAACGGCATCACAAGGAACTGGCGCTCAGTCTGGAGTCTCAGATGGTTTTCTCTCAGGATGCCGGAGCTCAGGAGATAGAAGCAGAGTATGCCGCCCTTGACCGACGTATAAATATATATATTTATAAAATATTATATTTTATAGAATAATATATCTTCTTGTGTAAGGTTTTCTCAGCAAATATTGATTTATGCAATTATTCTCAATTTATGTATCAGCATATCTTGTAATTAACTTCAATTTATTGTTCTGTTTGTTAAATTTGTTAATCAATTTATTGCCCAATATATAATATAGGCGGAAGTTTGCAGCCTTACAAACAAAGAAACTAACGGTCACTGTGCGTGTGCGAGTACACCGTTATTTCTTTAGTCATAGCTGTGTGCTATGCGCTGAGGATGTGAGCTCAAGATAAATCATAACTTGGTAATGTACTGTCAAAGGATGGGGCACCAGTTGAAAGAGGATAGACCCAACTGCCAGCAGCAGACTCATGATTGCTTCGTTTTGCTGTTCCAGACAGGCTGAGCAATATAGAAGTTTAAAAGGAAAAGCTTTATTAGTTCTCTTTCCATCACTTCTCCTCTCACACCCTCTTTCCTTCACACTTCTCATCTTTATCCCTCTCTCTCCCAAACCTGTTATTCTCTTTTCTTTTTCTCTCCAGCCATATGAGGGATTGAAACTGCAAGACCTGCGTCGGTTGAAAGACATGTTGATAGTGGAGACGGCGGATATGCTGCAGGCTCCTCTCTTCACGGCCGAGGCCCTGCTGCGAGCTCACGGTATGAATTTACTGCAGCGACTTTTGAAGTCAAACAATTCCATTCATCCAATGATATCACTGGGTTGGTATGCAGCAATTTTTTTTTACAGTAATTGGCATCACAAGTGAATCCTGAGGTAGTTGGGTAAAATCTTTTAGATTTTGTGAACACAAATGAAAAGTCTCTGACTTAATGGTTTTACTGTGCTCATAATATTCTGTGAAACACTTTGGACTACATGCTATAAGTACCGTCTGATCCCTCTACCATAGTTTTGCTGCAGTACGCATTTGTGAAGAGATGAAGAGGTAATATATTGCAGAGGGCTGTCACTGTGCCAGCTGATCCATTTGATCAATTAAAGAAATATGCCAAATTTGGCCAATATCCAAGACCCTTCATTCTTGAAGATATTACAAGCAAACGGGTCTGGCTCGACTTTATTACTGGGCAAACCAGAACATTCCATGCTTAATCTTTACTTTTTTTTTTGAAGTAGTTGGCACTAGGGGTGTGCGATATTGACGACAAATTATATCTCGATATTTTATGGGATTTTATCGATAACGATGATTAGACGATATTTTGCTGAGTGTGCCTGAATCATGCAGTGAAAGAAAACACACTAAATGCGCACACGCACTAGTCTAGACTTCACGTAATGTATGCGTGCGCTCTGTAGGGATGTTTTGAATGGTTTTTGCAAAATACTCGATAATGTCAAATCGCACATCGTTAAAACAACAATTACGATATTATCGCAGACGATATATATCGCACACCCCTAGTTGGCACCAATTTCACATTCATACATTCCAAGAGACGGAAGTGGATTCAATATAATATTTTTTTGAAAATTAAAATAGCAAATCGCAAATTCTCTCAGATCATTATATAGCTGACAACTGCCGCATGTCCTAAACAGGCGTTATGCTGCCAGGATCCTGCTCCAAGCAACTTGTCTGTCCACACTTTGCTTGCTTCTGATTGGCTGTGGCACTGTCAGAGCCTATCAGAATATCTGATGTTTTATACACAGCTATTTGAACCAATGGCCTGGTTTAAACCTTCTTTTTACTGAAAAGACTGGGACAGGGAAAAACTTCTAGAGGACTGGATGTCTAATGCAGAGGACTGCTGCCAGCGCTCAGGTGTTCAGATGCCAACTCCCCCACCGAGTGGCTACAATGCTTGGGATACTCTGCCTTCACCTAGAACTCCCAGAACAACTCGCTCCTCTGTCACCTCCCCTGATGAGATCAGCCTGTCTCCTACTGATGGCCTTGCCCTGGTTAGATTAATCTCCATGCATCACGTTATGATCCTCATTCTTTATCATTCAGTGTACAAATATTGAAAAGAATATTGACAGTCTGCTCAATGTTTTTGTACCCATGTAGTGTGGGATTTGCATGTGCACCATATCGGTGTTTGAGGACCCTGTGGATATGTCTTGTGGGCACGTGTTCTGCAGGGCATGCTGGGAAGGGTAAGGAATAGAAGTTTTGTTTAAATCACAAGTTCAGATCATATCAGATGTTTTTCTTAATAATGTATCCATTACAGGTAACTACTTAAACTACAGCGTTTGTTGTCAGTAAGATTAAAAAATAAAAATGAATACATTTATTTAACAAGAATGGATTAAATTGATCAGTAAAGAATTTTTTACATTACAAAATATTTCAAATTGAAATAAACACGGTTGTTTTCAACTTTCTATTCATCACAGAATCCTGAACAAAATATATCATGGATTCCACAAAAAAATTATGCAGCACAACTGTTTTAAAAAATATTTCTTGAGCATCAAATCAGCATATCAGAATATTTTCTGACCGAACATGTGGCATGAAGACTGGGAAATTCAGTGTTGCCATCACAGTAATAAATTAAATTTAAAACGTTAAGATGGCATCTAGAAACGTTTTTAAATGATAATAATATTTAACAGATATTGCTGGTTTTTGATCAAATAAATGCAGCCTTGGTGAGCATAAGAGACTTCAGAAACCTAAAACAATATTACAGACCCCAAACCTTTAAACTGTAGTGTACATGCTGGAATAGTTTATAAACGGAATAGCAATAAACGTCAAATATTGTTTTATACTCCTAATCACTGACTATGTTTTAGATATATATTTGACCATTTCCTATTTAATCATGGCATTTGCAATGCTTTATGTGATGAGTAGTTCTTTCCATCAAAGAAAAAATTTTTTTGTTTGTTTTTCGCTTCAAAACTTGTTTTTTTGTTGTTGACATTTTTAAAATCCTGTGGATGAATAGAGAAAATTCTCCTCCACTAAAAAAAGCACTATATTGCAGGTTGTTTATGATCCATGTATTCATAGTCTTTGAACACTGTTTGTCTGGATGTCAGGTTTTTGAATCTGAAGATCCAAGAAGGGGAAGCACATAACATCTTTTGCCCTGCTTATGACTGCTTCCAGCTGGTTCCTGTGGAGGTAATTGAAAGCGTTGTCTCCAGAGAGATGGATAAGCGCTACCTGCAGTTTGACATTAAGGTACAATTGCAGTTCACAAAGCACCAGAAACCATTTCAAAGCTGCCATTTTATTTTTCTTATCATAGACTGTCTGACGTTGGCTTTGAATCAAAATGCTGACAGCATCCTGCTGTTGGTTGAGTTTATGCCGGTGCTTGTTTGAGGAAAAAAAGCTTTTGTAAACACACCTTTTCAGAAGTCAAATGTTTGATTGTTGGGTAAATATCACGTTGATTTGATTTGTATGATTTACTGATTAAAATTGGTTTTGGATATTGGGTCATTTACGTCATCCAAAACAAAGAGCAAGTTTCACCACATTTCTTTTTTCGTCACCAGGCTTTTGTGGATAATAATCCTGCCATTCGCTGGTGCCCCGTAGCCAGATGTGAAAGAGCCGTACGACTGTCTAGGCCAGGCCCTGGAGCATCTGACCCTCTGAGCTTCCCATTGCTCAAAGCCCCTGCTGTAGACTGTGGCAAAGGCCATCTCTTCTGCTGGTACGTTAACCAGCTGTCTCCTTATTTACACTCTCAGAAAAAAGGCACAAAGCTATCTCTGGGGCGGTAAGGTACAAAAATTTTACCTAATTTACCTCTAAATTGTGCATATTAGTACCTAAAAATCAGAAAGTTTGCTTAAAAATATATATTTTTAAGGATCATCGTGATTTTTTTTTTATTGGTTTTTTTTATGTTTTGACACTGTTTTAATATCAGTTAAGCACATTTATTCCCTTTTCCTTTGCATTAGTATAATATGTCCTCACATTTTATAGAGATTTGAAATTCTTATTCTTTGTTGTGATTTCATTCTCATTACTGTAATACAATAATTCATTAACAAATGCAGTAAAACACTTAAAACCAAAAATAAAAAAAGAATAGAAAAACTAAATACTTTAAAAGTGAATAAAAAAACAATTAAACTTGTACATAATATAATACTGTACTTTCCCCCCCCCCCATTTACTTTTTTGTACATTTTATAGGAATGAGAGCTCAGGGGTCTGGTGGATATAAAAACCCTTAATGGTCTTAAAAATGAATGTTATTTTCTTTAAAATACAGTATATTGTTTCTTTTGATTTCAATGGGATAATCCTAATGTTCATCCTCGAAATTGCCATCAAAGCACTGTAAATGTTTATCTCTCGGGTTTCTTCTCAGGGAGTGTCTTGGGGATGCTCATGAACCCTGTGACTGTGAGACATGGAAGATGTGGCTGCAGAAAGTGTCTGAAATGAAGCCTGAAGAATGTAGGAGCTCCAGACTTTTCACATTTTTAAAATTCTGAATATATTATTCTTCCTGGCCATGCATTTAATCTTTACCGTGCATGATCATTTGACCTGCACCTTTACTTAATGGATGTTCATGATATATAACCTGCTGCTGTAGGTTTTAATATCGAGCTCCACTCTGTCTCTGAGCAGTGGCTGGTGTGAGTGAAGCCTATGAAGATGCTGCCAACTGCCTGTGGCTACTCAGCAACTCTAAACCTTGTGCCAACTGCAAATCCCCCATCCAGAAAAATGAAGGCTGTAATCACATGCAGTGCGCGAAGGTCAGTACAGAATGGAGTACCTGAACAAAAACATTCACATCCATTAGAATGTCAGCCCGCTAAATTGTGACTGTCTGATGATTATCAGCTGATACAGTGACGACTAATAAGATCAGATGTTGGAAAATGTATTCTATCAACGGAGAAGTTGGTAATCGCACATGAATGGCGCATTTATTAAGGACCAATATTTGGCTCCTAGAATTAAAAATCAGGGACATTTTTACCCTATGAGTGCATTTGTTTTTAACTATATAAAAACACGGCATGCTATCCATTATTGTTAAAAACATCAATTTAATCAGTTAATTGAAAGAAAATAAAGATTTTTTTTAGAATATTTTTTATAAATAGTTTTGTGATATTCAGTACAACAGCATAATAGTGATTGCAATATTATTTTTAAACAATATTTTTAATACAATTTCTCAATTAATGTTGAGTAAATTGCATTTTAAACATAACATGACCAGCTATTTTATTTATAAGAAATAATATTGTTATAAGAAATATCAGCACTGTTAGAAAACTGCTTGGTCAATCAAATTAAAGGACTGGTATATTATTTTATTTAACAGATAAAATAAATTAAAATTTTCAAATTTAGCAATTTTGAAGTTTTTAGATTCTAAGCTAAAGGAAACTCAACAGACTGAAAATATTAAGCTGATGTTTTTTGAGATGTTATTAGGCTTAAAATAACTAACTTCTGTCATAATGTGCTTGTCCATATGCACAGACATTGACATACTATTTGTTCTATAATGTACAATGTAATGTAAAGTCGGAATTATAAAATCTCTTACAGATATCATATGAGTGTGTTTGAATGTGTTTGACCCTGACACAAGATGTATGTGTGATGCAAAACGGCCTTTTGACGTCAGAGGCAGGTGTTTGAACAAAGGCAGTGCTGAGGCCATAGCCTCACTGTTATTTTCTTAATGAAGGCTTGACTAAGGTTTTGAGTGACAGGCGCAGGGCAGGGGAAGCTATTCACGCCACCAGCACGTGGAGGAAAGGCAACATCACATGCTCACAAAAACGAATGTTGAATGCACACTCGTGCCTGGATGGCTATTTATATTGTGAAATAAAATATCTCGTACTATCTGGCCCATGGTTGCTTTAGTACACAACTTTGTTGATTACTAACACAGATTGAAATCTGTTGCTGGTTTATAAGACAGTCAGGGTTGATTGTATAATTCAAAACAATCTCTAAATCAACTTTATAGCTGCTTAGTGCTTGATCCTGTTTGATGAGTTCTGTTTTGCTCTACTTTCTCATCTGGATCTCTCTGTAGTGCAAGTATGATTTCTGCTGGATTTGTCTTGAGGAATGGAAGAAACACAGCTCCTCTACTGGAGGATACTATCGCTGCACGCGCTACGAGGTCATCCAACAGGTGGAGGAACAGTCCAAGGAGATGACTGTGGAGGTACTCATTACACACATGACAGCCATTGACTTGGATCTTTTGTGATTTGTTTGTGGACTTCTGTGAATGGTGCTAGTGAATAAAGGGCAGGAAAGTCTCAAAACACCAAACGTTTACTTTCCAGGCTCATATTTCTCATGTGTAAAAAGTAACAAAACAGGTTCTGTGCTTTTGTTCTGAATTTATATGTGGTTATGAGCTTGAATTTCCATCAGGAAGTCTCTCTTGCTTTTATGTTTGTGTCCTCGCAGGTAGAAAAAAAGCACAAACGTTTTCAGGAACTTGACCGTTTTATGCATTATTACACACGATACAAGAATCATGAACACAGTTACCAGGTAGGAATATGTATGTAATGAATTTCTTTAAAACTTTCCAGTTGAGTGATTGGCTCACTGTTTGTTGACAATCATTCATCAAAGGTACTTCTTTTACATTAGTTAGAAGAACGACTCCTGAAAACAGCCAAAGAAAAGATGGAACAACTGAGCAAAGCTTTCATTGGAAGTGAGTAGAACATATTTCACATGCACTATACGTGCCTTTAGTTTTAAGGGTGATGTAGTATGTTCTTATAAACAGGTGTGTGGTGTATTTTGAATAATAGGCCTAAATATGTAAAAATGGCAATGTATCTGTTTCTTCAAGGGGAAGGAGCTCCACCTGACACCACCTTCATTGAGGATGGTGTGCATGAACTTCTCAAGACCCGACGCATCCTTAAGTGCTCTTATCCGTATAGTTTCTTCTTGGAGCCCAAAAGCACAAAGAAAGAAATATTTGAACTTATGCAGGTACTGAGATTGATATCTATTCACCACTTAAGAGAAGCAATGATTTGTTTCTGTTGAACCTTCTCTTGCACAACATGCTGTTGTGTTTCGTCTTTCTCCAACATGTGCAGACTGATTTAGAGATGGTCACCGAAGACCTTGCTCAGAAGGTGAACAGGCCTTACCTCCGCACCCCTCGCCATAAGATCATCAGTGCCACGTATCTGGTGCAGCAGAAGAGACGGGAGTTCTTGGCCTCTGTGGCTCGAGGTGTCGCTCCAAATGATTCTCCCGAGGCTCCCCGCCGCAGGTAAATCCTTGTGCTGCCATTTACACCATTTTTATAAGCTCGATGGTTTAACGTTTGAAAGCAAAGAAATTAAGACAGCCATAAGTATTATAATTTTTCTGTTTTGTAAAATAAATGTATTATTTTTATTATTATATAGTATATTAAATGGTATTAATACTATAGTAAAGGAATTATATATTGTTTTTATTTTATATTAAAAAAACTTAACTTTGTAACTTGCACTGTAATACTATTATAATATTATTATATTAATATGGTTAATGTCTTCAAAAACATGATATTACCTTGGCACCATGTCCAAAATATATTATACAAACAGGAATAAAACCCTACAGCCACAGTACTTTTTTCCACTTTTGCAGTTTTGCTGGTGGGACGTGGGACTGGGAGTATCTGGGATTTGCCTCTCCTGAGGTATTACTGCATCACTGTTGCTGTGTTTACATTTTTCTTCTGTTTTAACTAACCTCTGCTATTGCAAAGCTCACACAGCCAGCCAGAGTTGTAGCTCACAAAACTGTTAATGCCCTCTGATCCTCTGGGATGTCCTTGTAATAATGTAAGAGAGTTGTGTGTTGCTGTAAAGTACTAGCAGTCACTGAATCTCATTCTGTGTCCAAAGATGGTGAGGAATCACCCGGTACGGGGATCAAATGCACAGCGTGAGAGCAATTACAATCCAGGAGGCCAGCCGCAGGTACAGCTGAAGACAAAATAACAAAATATTCTTCAAAATTTGTTGCAGCATTAATTTTATAGTCATTCATATGTCCTCTGACATTATAGATATTATACTGCTAAAATAAATGTAATCCGGTGTTTAGCTGTTAAGGCTGGTCATCTCCTGGAATATTCCAGATAAAGGACTATGCCGTTACTCAACTCAAATGCTTAAATAAACCAGAATTCCTGTCCTGTGGTCAACTTCACCATTCTTGAAATGTGTACACTGTTGGAGGTTGCTTTGTCATGCATTCAGTTTGCCTGTGTGAATGATCTGTATTCAGTTTTTCTAACAACTGCAAAACTATTATAATATTGTTTTTTTCCATTTTTTTATATAATTCAGTGGCCTCAAAAAGGATTCGGACACTCAATCACACTTAAAAAGTATAAATTCTATTGCAATGGATAATTACATATTAAGTATAAACTAACATCAGCATTATAAACTGTTGTCAGGTTGTAAATTCATACAAGTGTCCTTGCAGAATAACCACCGGTGTAGTTCATTGTATTAACCATGAACATGCTCTACTACATTTTCACTAAAACCATGTTTAGACGTTTTGTTGTATAATTCCAAGAAATTAATTTTCAAGTGTGATGTAAGTATCCAAATATGTTGTAGGGTCTCTGTATTTTATTTTAATCCATATTAGTAGTATGGATTAGAGACACAGGCCACAGTTTTCAAATAGGCATTTTATTAATTGCTTGTAATATTAAAGTTAATCAGTATTCCTGTGAGAGTCTGTCCATTTTTTTTAAGGATCTGTCCATTACTTAATAACTGCTCCTTGACAAGAAACCATGCATTATTGTAATTAAACTGAGGATGATGGTTCCTGCAGGAATACTCAGAGTTCCAGTACAGACGGAGACACAGGCAGCGGCGTAGAGGAGACCTACTCAGACTGCACAGCCTCCGCAGTAACACCCCTGAACCGCATGACTCCAGTGACAACACTTCAGGTACAGCTCCTGACGGCAATAATGACCCCACATAATGTTAGGATAGAAATAACTAAAAGAGCTGCTTTATGTCAGTGTTACTAAGTTTACTAAGAAATTTATGTATGTCCAACTTGTGTCTACAGAAACACATGAGGGAGGCAGTACACAAAGACATGGGATCTCCATGGTGAATATACTGTTTATATGTAAAGATTTTCTAACGTGTGATGTGTTCATTTTTGCACAATTATTTGTTTTGGTCATATTTTTGTATTTTGATTAAAATAATCTGGTTACTATTTCATGTTTTCATTTGTCAAATTTACTATAAAATGGAACCTAAATTTAGTCAACCAAAAATGCTAAATTAAATAAATATGCATTTTCATAAACCAGAAAACATTTTATATGCTATTTAAACATGAACCAACACTTAAAAACATACACTGCCAAAATTTGGGGTTGGTAGGATTTTTTGAATGTTTTTGAAAGAAGCTTCTTATGCTCACCAAGGCTGCATTTATTTGATCAAAAGCATGTTAAAACAGTATTGTGAAATGTTGCTACAATTTAAATAGCTGTTTTCTATTAGAATATATTTTCAAATGTATTTTATTCCTGTGATGGCAAAGCTGAATTTTCAGCAGCCGTTACTTTGGTCTCTAGTGTCACATGATCCTTCAGAAATCATTCTGACATGCTGAAACATTTCTTATCAATGTTAAAAACAGCTGTGCTCCCTAATATTTTTATAGAAGCTGTGATGCATTTATTTCGGAATTATTTGATTAATTGAAGGCTAAAAAGCAGCATTTATTTGAAATGGAAATATTAGGTAACATTATTAATGTCTTAATGTCACTTTTTTTCATCTTTGCTGAATAAAAGTAATAATTTATTAAAACAAACGAACAAAAAAAACCCCACATGTTTGAACGATGGCGTAGTTCCTTCACTCAAAAACGAGTCAAAGAGCATGTATTGAGAATTTGAACCCTTTTTATCTCCTCAGGCACTTGGGTCTCTGGATGAGGATGACCCCAATATTTTGTTGGCTATTCAGCTGTCCCTACAGGAGTCCGGGCTGGCCTTGGACCCTGAGCCTCAGGATGTGCTCAGTAACGATGCCTCTGTAGGTGCCAGTGGTTCCTCTCTGCCCTCTAGACTGGATTCTGCCCCCCATACTGGGGATCCCCCCCGAGCTTCCAGGAGCAGCTCTGAGCTTCTGGAGCTGGGAGACAGCCTTATGAGACTGGGCAACATTACCAGCCACTATACACCCTTTAACATGAATTCCTACCCTGATGCCTTGGGTAACGCCTTCACCCCTAGTGACCCAGACTGCCTGGACCCTTCCACCAATGCCAACCTGCTTGGCAACATTATGGCCTGGTTCCATGATATGAATCCACAGAGCATTGCACTGATTCCCTCAGCCACCTCAGATGCCAGTCCTGAGCCTCCCGTTTTTGGAGAGGGACAACCTGCCAAAGCCCAGGATGAGGAGAATGAGGTGGGGAGTCCTGAGCAGGGTTCCCTATCGCTAATGAAAGAGAGCGCAGGCATGATGGCATCGCAACTTTTGGAACTAGAATGTGTTGATGATGCACAACCTCCTAAAGCAGAGCCAGACTTGGAGGGTACGGGCAGCAGTGTAGATCTCCCTAACACAGTTCGTCCTGAGAGCAGTACTGATCAGGATCTGCAGGTAACTGACCTCTCCTTAGAGTGGGAGGAAGAAGTGCACCTTGTGTGAGGAAAAAGTCAAATTATTGTTTACCAACTGAGTGCTCTTATTGTGCCAAAACACTAAATAAAATCAAAACTGCACGTTCGGAAATGGAGAAGAGTGAACAAGGTGCAGTGGGGTTAGACGGGACTTGGTTGCGTGTTGCAACATGTCTGGTGGAAGAAACAAGAAAATGTGGTCAGATTCAAGGTGATGAGAGAAGAGTGGGTCTCATTCACTAACCGTATTTGTGTGTATGAATGTTTTTGAACAGAAAATTCATTAATATCTTAGTACTTGGATTTTTTTTCTACATTTAGCATAAAATTTAGAACCAACTAAAACTGCACACGTATGTAAAAATCAGTCCTGGTGGCCTTAGAAACACGAAATGGTTTAAGCCGAAAAGTTTTACATGTAATTGGACATTTGAACAACTAAGAGAACCAAAAATTTAGCATTAAAAAATTACAAGCATTAGATCTGGAATCGGTTCTGCATAAAAATGTGTTATTATTTTGTATTTTAAAAGCCATTAAATGGCTTGACATGTTTATGTAGAATAATCTGGATTTATTAACATTAGAAAGACAGTAAGATCAAATTTATGTGCATACCTGTTGTGAGTAATCAGGTGGAAATTTTGTGTAACAACCTTTTTTGTGCACATAAGAACACGGTTATGAGTGAATGTTGTGAAGTATTAAAGTCACAATGAAATGGAAGTAGCGACAGATGTTTTCTTCCATATTGCGGTGTACATCCGAAAGAAAAAAAAAAATTAGGTTGGGCCTTGGTTATAACCATTGTTGTGTTGACTGGATGGAAGCAGATCTGAATATGAGCTTGCAGTCCATTGTAAGAAATAGGTGAGGTTTAAGCGTGCTAAATGATTGGAGAAGTAAACATACTTTTTTTTAAGATTAAGATTTACAAGGTGTTTGTTTCAAACCAATCGATGCCACTTTGGCAATCTCTCGAAATCTTGCTGTGGGTGGGTGCCATGAGAGAAAGCTCCATCTGTATTAGATTGGAAATTCATTCTTTCTTATAAGTTCAAATGAACAGAAATTAAATGGATGAATTTTTGACTTGACGGTTGTATTTTTCTGAAAAGAAAAAGGAATGTTTATGTTCAGAAGAAGATACATGAAAGCATCAATCCAATGTTTCTTGGCTCTTACAGTTACTGTGAAACAAGTGTGAGATAAGAATTAAGATAAGAACGTTTTGCCTTTTATGAGTTCTTTGCCCTATTTTGCTTTTTAGTTTTACAGCTCTCCTATTTAGCCATGCCAATTTGTTGCTTTATTTAAAAACACTAATGTTCTTTTCATTTAATGTAAGTCACATTTAATGCAAGTGCAGAGTGCACAATGCACATCTCATGTTATAAATGAGGAGTGTTTTGAAATCTTTGAACGGTTACTGCTTGTTAAAAACTTTAAAAACAGATTGTCCTGCAGAAGACCTTGTTCGCTTCCAAAAGGTTACACTTCATGTAAATTTACACTCCTGAAAATATTATGACATTTATTACCTTATCTATTGTGACTACTACACAATACCTCTGATTATCCTGTGTTGTGTATTTCATTTGGGCTCATTGCTAACGCATATATGCATAAAGACACTTCACAGGTCTTCTGAAGCAATAGAGAGATTACAACAGTACTTTTTCTTATTTCGTTTGTGTGCCGAACTCAGTCATATACATAGAAAGTCATTCTCATATACGGCATATGTGGCCAAAGTGACACATCTGTTAAAGGGATAGTTCACCCAAAAATGAAAATTCTGTCATTATTCGCGTCACCCTAGCGCCATTTTAGAGAGTATTCTTCGTAAATTTACGGTTGAACCCCTGATGTCACATGGATTATTTTACCGATCTCCTTGCTACGTTTCTGGACCTTGATCGTGGTAATTACATTGCTGTCTATGGGAGGGACAGAGAGCTCTCAGATTCCATCAAAAATATCTTAATTTGTGTTCTGAAGATGAACGAAGGTCTTAAGGGTTTGGAACAACATGAGGGTGAGTAATTAATGACAGAATTTTCATTTTTGGGTGAACTATCCCTTTAACAGATGTGTCACTTTGGCCACATATGCCGTATATGAGAATGACTTTCTATTTTTTCTCATTTTTGGGTGAACTATCCCTTTAAAAAATTATTAAACCCTCTCTGACAAAACATACTGTGCAGTAACGGAGAGAGTTTTCAAAGAATATTCCAGGTTAAATGTAACAAGATTTATAGAGAGCATCTGTGACATGCTATCGGTTACCACATCATCTCTTAGTTTGTACAAAAAAAAGCAATGCATTTAAAATGTTACTCTTAACACTGTCGATACTAGATCTTAAAGTGTATTTAAACCAGGATATTAATCTAACAGTCATAAGTAGCTTGATTTCTATTTCTGATACATAATTTTTTGGAAAGTCTTAGATGTGGGGAAGAGATTTATTTATTTATTTTTAATTCTACTGTGCTCATCAGTGTGCCTTTTTGTACTTTTTCTTATTTATATACGTTACCTAATTATGTTAGTGTTTGCTGTGTCAATCAAATGCAATCAACCTTGCATACTCATGAATTGCTAAAAAATTCAGTTTCTACCTTCACTTGCTAAAATGGTAGATAGTTTTTGGTTCATGTTAACAACAGCCTCATGTTTTTTATTACACTGAACAGGTTGCCATGTTTTGATTGTCTCTATTACTACATTACAGTTATAAAGGTCTATCGCTCTAGAAAGGTGTCATTGTGATATAAGCGGAAAGAAAGAATAGATGATGTGATTACAGTTGGTGTATGTTTTTTTTTTTTTTTTTTTGATGAAAAATTTTGGTGGTCAGTTTTTACATTTTTGACCTTCGATTAAATCATCTTGTGTAGTAATGACCAGTTTTTACATCATTTTTATTATTTTTTTAACTGAAGTTTTTATGGTGGTGGTATTCTATATCTTCTTCTTCCTTTTTTTTGGGGGGGAAATGTGACCATTAACCTTGCTTTGTCATTTGCACTTTCATAGACTATACTTGATACATTCCCAGTTTGTATGATGTGTAGCCAATAAACCGAAAGTATTGGTAAAGGTTTGCTTGGATTAAAAGTTTAAAGTGCAGTCCTGTTTTGTTGTGGTTCATGAAAGAAATCTAATGCAATATACAGTACTTGCATTCTCAAAATATGACATAAATGGCACCCTCCAGTGTTTTTTTTTTTCTTGACAGATTTTTTTGAAAATAAGAATAGCGGAATTTTATTTTAAAATGCTCAATTTCTTCTCTTGGATTTTTTTTAAATTTTTTTAAATTTTTTTTTTTAGAACAGAGTAAGGTGAGGTACATCATCCACTGGACGCCACTCTCCCGTGAACGCGCATACGACAGTTAGCGGAAGTTAGAGATTAAGGTTTATAAAGTTGTAAATATGGATATTTTTCTTACACAAACTCATCGCTTTGCTTCGGAAGGCCTTTATTACCCCCACGGAGCCGTGTGGATTTCTTTTATAATGGATGGGTGCAATTTTTTAGACTTTAAATTTTGGACTCCCATTATAAAGCATGGATTAGCCTGACCATTATTTAAATAAAACTCTTGATTCTATTCGTCTAAAAGAAGAAAGCCATATACATCTAGGATGGCTTGAGGGTAAGTAAATCATGGGGTAATTTTCATTTTTGGGTGAACTAACCCTTTAACTGTAAGATCACAAATATAGACATTTCAATGCTGCTCTTTTTTAATGTTTCTGTACAATGTACCATGATAGGCCTATAGCTTCTCTTGGTCTACATTAATTGAAATGTGTAATTTTTTTTACTATCTTGGTTTAATATTCAAGGCCAGGAGGAGTGTTTGGGAAACTTGTTTGGAAACAGTCAGTATTTAATTTTTGGTGCCACTAGTGTGAATGTGTATGTTTGAATGTGTATGTGTATGTTAGCTGCTCACATAGTTCCGAGTTCTCAGGGTTCAGCACACTGTTGTGACATCATAGTGGAGATTCCGTTCTGGCAGCTCTAAACTGCTGCTCTGACCCTTGTCTTCTGTTGGTGTGTTAGGAGTGAAAAGATCGAAAGATACTTTCGTGACTTTCTGGAGATATTAATGACAAATACTGACTTCATTTGCAGCATTCAGTGTCCACAATGGCACTGTTCAGCAGTGTATGTAGACAACTTTTTGAGCATTTTGCTCACTTTTTGCACAGAAGGGAGACACCTCAGAGGGCACAGCAGTGTGTAGCGCAAGAATGGGCGCTGGAAAGAGAGGTAAAAAGAAAGGTGAAGAATGAGAAATAAATGAGGGAGGAAGTCATCAAAACAAGGCTGAAGAAGCGAGAGAGACACTCAGCCTTGAAAAGATGAAGGAGAGAGGAAATGTGCATCAGAAAAAAAGAAAGTCTGCCAAATTCAGAAAGATGCAGAGTCTAGAAAAGTTGGTGGAGGGAGGAAGTGAGCATAGAGAGGCTGGAGAAAAGAAAAAGAAAACTGAAGGAACAAAATACCACTGAGCCAACTCCACTTCTTGTGGAGGTCAAACCTCAGCAAACTCTAGTCCTCCAGTGAGATCTTCCTTCTTGAAGCCAATAGAGGGAGAACTTCAAAGTGTCTGAACATCTCACTCTAACAGCCGCTCGCTTCAAGCCCCTGCCGCCAGTGACCAAACCGCCCATGCGGCCTCAAAAGCCAGCTCCTGCACCTGAGGAAGTGTCCCTGCCATGTTCTCCTCTTCAAGTGGATCCTCCCAAACCGTTGGCTGTTCCTCCACGTCCCACTCCAGCGTATGATGAACTCTTTTCTCTCCGACACTCCCAAGTGCATCCTCCCAAACGACTGGTGGTTCCTCCGAGCCCCACTCCTTCACCTGATGAAGTTGTTGATCTGCATTGTTCACCAACTCAAATGTGTCCTCCCAGCCTGGTGAAGCCTCAGCCATCCACTTCTTCCCTGTTTGAGCCGCCTCCACAACTCATGCTCATTGACATAGAGGATGAGGAGAACGGGTATGTGGAGTACACAGGGAAGACCATCCGGGCCTGTGACTTACTCAAGTCTGAACGCCCCCGACCGCTGGAGGCTGAAATGAATCCAAGAAAAATGGTTGCTTGGTTGGAGAGTGAAAGCGAGGTGCGGGAGGAAGTGTGGGCGAGTGAAGTGGTGGAGGTCCAGGGATGTGAGGAAGATCACCCCAATGAAGTGGGAGACTCCAAAGCCATTCAAGGCCATTCGGATATCCCTTCTCAGAAAAAGAAGCAGATGGATGAGCACATGATGAAGCTGCTCTGTGTAAGCTCTCCTGAAGGTTCCAAGAATGAGACCCAGCAAAATGTGAACATCCAGGAAGAGCAAACGAGCAAAAGAAAAGTGGCACTTGTTCTGTTCACCTTGGTAGAGTATAAGCCCAAGAAAATGGTTGAGAAGAAAATACGGAATGAGAAGGAGCAAAGAGAAAAAATGTTGCTGCTTGCATGCTACAGGAATGATCCAAAACTGAAGCACTTGTTGATCAACAAGCACAACTGCAACTACTGCTCCTCTGAATAAAGATCAGGGTCTCCAAAATGCCTGCTTCACCTTTAACTTACTACACATTTATGTGCGCAAATAAAAAAAACTGCAAACTAAAAGCTGAAAGATCAATGACTCTTCCTAACTCTTATAAAATAATAAAACACGTTTAATGTTTAAATGTTTCGTATGATAGCACGTTTATTATGAACTGAATTTTTAACCTTTTTGTTTTTTTAAATAACATTGTTTATAACTGGTACAGCAGCAGAAAGTGAATGATTCAATACAGTTTAAGATTCATCAGTTTCAATTTTTCTTTCAGTGGTTTAATGTTCATGTGCAGAATTTCCTGATTTCACACTAGACAGACAATTAATCCTCTACCACAGTCTGTTCCGTTTTATTTGTGTTTCTTGTTAAAACTTTTCATTTGATTTGAGTGAGAGGTAAATTCACATGTAAGTTCATTATACTGTCTCTGATACGGAATTAGTGACTAAAATTTTTGTCTTGGTCTGTAGGTCAAGCAAAATTCACAGGAAGCACTTGCATGTGAGATGTTTGATTCTTTCAATATATCCAGTACATCACTTGCACCTTTCTTCCCCTGCACTTTGTTGATTTTTCAGAGCAGTTCTTTTCTCGGATAAACAGGTACAGGGTAAAAAATAGCAGTTGCATTTAATCTAATCTCACTAATTATGTGGCTGTTCTTGCTATTTGTTCATTGTTTTTCAGATCTACACATCCAGTAATTCTTCATTCTCAGTGGACAGTCTTCCAGAATGGCCCATACTGGTTCTTTCATTGGAATTTGAGTTGAATTACTGAAATAAATGAACTTTTCCACGACATTCTAATTTATTGAGATGCACCTGTAGCTTATAGTTGCAAAGTTATTGTGATTATCGTGATCATTTTTGAGAGAGAGAGAGAGAGAGAGAAAACAGATCTCCTTTCTATTTCGTGATACGTTATATCTCAAGACATCACCAGATGGCGCTACAATGTAATTGCTGTTTGATTGATGAAAAGCATTGCAACTGTTCTTTTGTATAACGAAATGCAGTGAAGTTAAACAATTTTTAATACATTTTTTTTTTTTGTATTTAGGTGTCTCAAAGCTAAAAAATATATATATATTTGGTCTGAAAAGATTATGTTGTGTTTCATTTGAAACACAATCGGTCATTTTAAAGAGCTTGCTGAAAATTGCGAGATTCAAGTGAATCTCTCGGAAGAAGAGAAATGAGAAATAAATAAACCGAAAATGTAGTTTTAGGAGTATGGTCTAATGTTTGGATGAGAATTCTCATGCAGATTTTACCAGGCTGTCGAATAAATAAAGTGGGTTAAAACTGAAGGAGGTGCACATCGTCAAAGGGGAGGGTAAATCGAGTTGCGGTGCCTCCACAGCGAGAGAGCGAGCGTGAAGCAAATTCTCACGGAAGAGTTTCCCAAACTTCTTTCAGTCTCCGGCAATAATATGGACAGACTTGAATGGAAACATGCATATCCGGCTCCACTTCATTTATGGCACAGAAGATGACACAGTTGTTTCTGAAATGACAGCTCGTTAGTTCTTTCCATAAGTGAAATAAATCAACATGGGAAAACTGCAATCGAAACCTGGTAAGACACTGCGAATATCATGCCAGACGCTACAATTTATCAAGCGGCTTTATTTTCATTCTTGTTTTCTCGTTTTTTTTCTAGCCTGTAAACGGAGAGAGAATCCAGAGGGTAAGGTGATGCATGTATAACTTTCTTATCCATAAAGCTGTTACATAAGAAAATTGTATTAAATGGACATTTGTGTTGCAATAGGAGATGTTTTCAAGGAGGCTGACTGTACTGGTGAAGTGGACAGAAACAAGCAGGTAAAGGTGACAATTCTTAATGTTCAGGACAGATTTAAGTTAACTACACCACATCTATATGAGTGCATGTTTAAGAGTTAAGTGTTAGCTGGTTGATGAGCACAAATTAACACTTCATCTTAACTTTTAAGCCATTATGAAACATTACTAGATTATATAGCTTACTCATGAAAAGCAATGTAGCAACAGTAAATACATTTGTAGTCATTGCATACTGTATTCTTATTGCAATGTTTATGAAATAGACTACTGATCTGCTTAGCATTATGTAATGTGAGTTTTGCTTATTAAAATAAACAATGTTGCTATAAAACCCTTTAATTTGTACATTATGTAGCCAGTACATTAGGTTTATCTTTATTTTTATGACCTAAAATCTGGTGTCAAACTCTGAAGTACCAATAGTTATTATTTTTTTTTTGATTATAATGGACAAGCTGCAAGTATTCCTATTGTTTAAGTAGAGTATACATATAGTCATGGGTTTGATTCCCTGGGATCTGAAAATGTGTATACCTAGCTTGCACTATTTGAAGTGAAGTGAAGAAATGTAAATGTGAGTCAACACAAATCGACATAAATTGGCTTAATCATTTCCACACTTTAGACTGCCAGTTGCTACTCAGTTTTTGAAAACAACCAGGCACTGAACAGTTTTCTCCGCATTGCACTGTACTCTAAGCATTGTATTTAAATGGTGTTGGGTCTCTTCCCTCTCTTTCCTTTGCTCTCATTCTCTCAGTGGAGCCTGGAGCCTTCATCACTGTGTGAAATACATATGGCCGGCAGCCAGAACAGCAGGGTCTTTGAGCGCAGCCCCACCACACATCTGTTATTGGTTTTGAAAACAGAGGGAGGCTGTGATGGGAAAATGGGGGGAAGTGGTTGGAGGAGGGAAAGGAGGTGTAGTTGGTGGGAGGAGTGCTATGATGAAGGCTGCTGCAAACGAGTTGCAAAATGTAGACGAGTGGTTCAGCTAAAGGTGTTGGATTGTTGTGGTGATGCTGTGAACATCAAACGTCTAATTCAGAGATCAGGGTTGGTGGTTAGGACCAAGGAAACATACAACACAGTGCATTTAGTGTTGCTGTTTGTCAGGCGAATTCAGACGTGCAGGAAGATGAACAGTTACCTGGATTTTTGTGTTTGTGTAGGCCGTTTGTTTTTAACATTTTAAAGACGTATAGACCCACTTACTTGGAGGAGGTTGACGATGACCATATATCACTAAAGATGTATAAAAGAAAGGGCTTAAAATGCTTTAAATGGTTTGATAAATCAATTTTCAAGACAGGGTACCTGTAGCAGCTGAAGGAATACATATAAATAGCCACAAAGAATGGCACATTAGGGTGATAAATGCAATAAACAAGTTGTGATATTGCAAAAAATTTAACATTATTTGCTAGTAGTTTTTGAAGTTCAGTTGGTTGAGCATGGTGCTAGCAACACAATGATCATGGGTGTGATCCCAGAGAACAAGCATACTGGCAACCTGTTCATATTTGTTAGTAATCACAGATGATGAAACTATAGACATCGGTCAGGGTAGTGTCATGTTTAATTTTTGACAATTAATGAAACCAAAACTGTGAAGTACTGTGTTTAATGGATTTTACTGTTTACCAACATGCCAGCTGTTCAACTGGCAAAAATTATTTTATAAAAACTTTAAGAAAACAAAAAACGCCATAATTTTTTTAAATTTACCCGTGATTTAGGACATTTATGCAGTGCATGCCACTGTAAAGACTGCAAGTCTACCCCTCACAGCCTTGTTTTCTGTCACATAAAATCAATATGGCAAATAAACTTACTAAAGTCTATTGTGCAAGCTGAAAATGTATGCAAAAATGAAGAAAGAGTACTTGCTTTCTTTGAATTACACATGTGGGTTTGCTTACTGTTACTAAGTGACAAATAAATGTTTTAGTAACAAGTTAGATTGCGGATGAATGCATGTCACCACCAGTTGACACAAATGTTCACATCTGTTGTACGCTATCAGACAAAAAGGTACAAAGCTGTCACTGGGGCACTATCGAAAGGTACAAAAGCTAAAAGGTACATCTTTGTACCTTAATTACCTCTAAATGATACATAGTAATACATATGGATAACTTTTAAAAGGGTACCACCCCTGAGAGTATACATCACATGAAATAGTCTCCAAAAAATGGGATTATAAGAATACATTGGCATCATAAATCCAAATCTCATTTATTTCAGTTTTACTCACAGAATGTATTCACACTGAATCAGTCTTTGACATTAAATGAGGACATGTGTATGCTTTCTGTCTCCAGTGTGTTTCAGGTCTAATTAGGACACTGTTTTTTCATGGCAGGATCCTGCAGTGTGGGTCATAAAGCAAGGGACACTTGAAAGGTTTTGGTCTCAGAGGGCTCAAAGGAGTCTACGTTTGCTTGGAAAGGGTGGAAGAATCCTTTCTTTCACCCTTTTTCCTCTCTGTCGCACTTCAAAGGACACAAGGAAGTGTGTGCTGGAGGCAGTGACCCATGTCTCTTTAGAATAGGGTGCATGGGATGACAGCTATGTTTTCTTAAATAATTTAAATGAGCATGAGAACTCATTAAGTATTATTACTTAAGTCTGTTTACTGCTAACACTCAAAATTTGTTGGTTGTATCAGGAAATATCAAAAATACATAAAAAGTTGTGAAGTAACAGATAAACTGATTCTGTCCTGTTCTATTGACCTTCAACTTCCATGTGTTGATATTTATTTATTTAGTCATTTAGTCATTTAGCAGATGCTTTTATCCAAAGCGACTTACAAATGAGGACAACAGAAGCAATCAACTGTAGTATTAAAACAACTAAAAACATCCAAAACTAAAAGCTTAAACTTGATAGGTAAACTAAGCTTTTTTTATACCCGTCTAACAAAATACTAAATTAATTCAGCTGGACACTATTTATCTGATAGAAAAACAAGGGCAGTTTTCGTCAGCTAGCACAGCTAGTTTGCTAGGGGGCCCTTTAATCACAGACGCTAAAGTGCCCTTTCAGTCTGATCTAGGTGCCCCCAGACTGCTATTTCTACTCACAATGGTATAAGCTTGATGTGTGGTTTATATTAGATTAGAGTTTTTATAGTCCGAAATATAAAAATTCTGTCATCATTTACCCACCATCAAGTTGTTCCAAAACTGTATAAATTTCTTTCTTTTGCTGAACACAAAAGAAGATATTTTGAAGAATGTTGGTAACCAAACAGTTTCTGGTCCCCATAGACCTCCATAGTATGGAAAAAAATACTATGGAAGTCTATGGGGACCAGAAACTGTTTGGTTACCAACATTCTTCAAAATGATGACAGAATGTTTTTTTTTTTTTGAGTGAACTATCTCTTTAAGTACTTGTATGCCATTAGTCCATACTAATAAAATCAAGTTTGGGTAAGAAAGGAATACTACAACTGAAAGCCATTATGCAGTTCTTGCTTGAATCATTGCCCATCTAAACATGGAAGGCATAGTGATGCTGGATTGCGTTTGAGTTTATTCCAAGACCACGAAAGATAAAATCAATCATGCCAAGCCTCAACATTTTGAGCAAATAGTGTTAGATATTCTAGTACCTTGAAGCACGATCATACTCCAACCCACCTCAGCTCACTGATGATCAAATGGCATGTTGTTTCTCTCCCTTTCTCTCACCATGTAATAAGGGTTCCATCCAGGTGTTTGGTGACAGGAAGTGAGAGGAAACAAAGCCAGGTACTGTTCTGAACCTCGTGAGAGGGTACAGACAGCAGTGTGAGTGGGTGGTGAAAAGGAACTGGAGTTGGGATAGGGGGTGTCTGGCCCAGTGACACCAGGCTCAGGGCAGGAAAAAAACCCTCCAAGCTGGTAATCTGAGCCCACATCAAAGGCCCTAGAGCAGGCAGAGTGTGGCAGAGGCTTGGCAGTGATGATGGGAGAAATCATTGGCAAACTGATCACTGATCACTGATCAAACTTCTCCGGGCTTTGTTCTTCAGGTGTCTGTCAGACTGCAAGTTCTGGTAAACGTATATGAAAAAATATTCTGTTAAATTTACTGTAAAAAACATAAAAAAAGAACTCCCCAACGTTTGACTAATTTTTTACAGCAGAAAATATTATACATCTTATATTTTACAACAGAAAATGTAGCACAAAACTCCCAAATGCACATTAATGATAAAATGAAAAGAAAAAGGTATTTATAGAAAATATAATTATATGTTTTGTGCCATGCAGGGGCTTCTGGGATAGCCTTTTACTGTTTTTAATCATAACTGTATGGTAATTACTATATAATTTGTGCTTGCAAAAACCATACATTTGGAAGTATTTTACTGTACAATTATGCTAAACGATTTTTCACAGTATATGGTAACTTAAAGTTAACCAAATAACAGGGTTTTACTGCAGCATTTTTACAGTTTTTTTTCCCTGTAAAAATTGCAAACGTTTTACAGTGTCTATAGGTCTGTATTGGTTTTTTAATTGTTCATGTTCATAGCAACTATTTTTATATTTCTACATATTTTTACCTTTGCTGTCATCTAACACTCACTTAAAATGAATCTTTAAAACACTAACAATCTAATAATTATTTAAAGATATCTTTAGCAAATCTCAAAATGAATGTCCGTATATCGTACTGTATAATGTCTGTTGTGAAGTTTTAGGCATTTTATTTGGTTAATGTAGAGAATAATTTAGAGAAAAAGTGTAGCATTTTAATGTTAATATAATAGTTTAATAGAACCGCTTTTAGTTATTGACCATAACATAAAAATAATAATTGGCTTATCAGTATCAGCCATCATTTTAATCGGCACATCCCTAATATATTTATTATTTTGTGTTGGGTGATTTTTAAACAAGCTCACTCAAAGGGAAGGCTGACTGCATGTTCTTAAGCTGTTTTCTCCAGATAGATGCATGGTTCTGGCTCATAAAAGAAGGTAGTTGTTGTGTATGTTACTTCAAATGCAGTTTGTATGAAACCTTATGCTTCTCACGTCTGGCCTCAAATGAGCACACTGGGTGTTATACTTAATGAGTTGATAGTGTGAGTTAATATCTGGTTTTATAGTTGTGCATGATGTCAAAGCTGGCATGAGTAACACCGTGTCTACATCATGCCCCTGTCTGAGAGGGAATTCTGTTCATATTCACAGTGTTAACGCTTTCATTTTTTTGAATAATAGATTTATTACGTAATATTACATTTAATATGAAATAGTATGATATTCTACTATGTTCAGTAAAAAAACATCCAGCAGTGTGATCGATTTATTTAAAATTCTAAATGTTAAAATTTGTTATGGTGGTTGCTCACAACAATTTTCTGTTAATACAGAATGCTGTAAGGATTCTTTGAATTTCATAAAGTGTATTGTTGTGTTTTTTTTTCCAGAAATATTTAAATGTTGCAAGCAAAATTACATTATATTAAGTTAAAAAATGCTAAAATCTTGGAATGTGACATACGTTTATAGTTGTGTTTTTTGCTAGTGTAAGAGGGACAAAGTTGTGGCAGGGAGGATTACAGATGATGTTGAGCTGTTTTGTCATGGAGGGCAATTCACTTCCTCCCTCAGAAACCAGCAGTGCAATCATACTGACCCCAAAGTCTGGAAACAATTGGGCTTAAGACCACAGGAGTGCAAAGAATGAAGTGATTTTTTTTTCTTGTTCCTGGTGAATTCATTATGGGGGCTGGTTTTCCAGCTCGGAAGCATGTTTTCTACACCAATGATATTCAGAACTGACTTAGAAATGCAAAGGTTCATAGATCATGTTAGTCCATTTATCATTTTACAGATATTCACCCTCCAAAGAAACTAGCATGAGTGTTGTTTTCTATACTTTCTAATGTAATATAAATCATCCTGTGGGTCCTTTACTGCACACAATAGCTGCACTTGAATCCATTGTTTTCTTAGGATGTCCAAAGTTTTAATGATTTGTTTTGCCTCTTTAACTCTAGGATCTTAGTGGTAGAGATCCAAAAGAAGATCAGTTGTCAGATCAGTACTGTTCGCTGCCGGGTAAGTCGAGCTGTGAAAGGAAACTCATTTACAAACAGTGCCTTTGTTTAAAGCGAATTAATACAGACTTATCTGTCATTTTAATATTCTATTAAGTTGGATATTTTTCTAAAAAAAAGTTTTTCTCAGTTAAAAGTCTTTGTAAGATCTGTTAACATTATCTGTTGTTTGTAGTAACACTGCCACCAGAGAGAGTAATGGAGACTCCCAAATCTTCGCTTTCTTCTTCTGAAAATGACAGACGGCATCCACTCAAAGATCCACTCAGGAGAAATGGGAAGAATGATGTAAGTTTTTATCATACAGAAAACTGCATATGATACAGTGAATATCAGGTTTGAGATCCTAATGTCGCCTAACAAAAAGTAGACCAACTTGGCGTACTGTTTAAAACTTTGGGGTCAGTATGATTGTTAAATGTAAAGTCTCTCATGCTCACTGATGCTGCATTTACTATTATTCTACTATTAAAAATTTTCACAGTAATATTGTGAAATATTATTACAATTTAAAATAACTGTTTTCTATTTTAATATATTTTAAATATAATTTGTTCCTGTGATGGCAAATTACTCCAGTCTTCAGTCTCACTTGATCTTTCAGAAATCATTCTAGTATGCTGATTTGCTGTCAAGAATTTCTTCTTATTATCAGTGTTGAAATTGGTTGTGTTGCTTAATATTTTTGTGGAAACGGTGATGCTTTTTTCAGGTTGAATAGAAAGTTCAGAAGAACAGATTTTTTAAACATTATAAATATCTTTACTGTCACATTTGATTAGTTGAATTCATCCTTCTAAATAAAAGTATTAATTTTCTTTCAAAAAACGAAGTCTGACCCTAAAGTTTTAAAGGGGTCATATGATGCGATTTCAAGTTTTCCTTTCTCTTTGGAATGTTACAAACTGTTTGTGAATAGATAAGATCTCTAAAGTTGCAAAGATTAAAGTCTCAAACCGAAAGAGATATTCTTTATAAAAGTTAAGACTCGTCCACGCC